ATCATATTTGTGAGGTTTATGGTATAGAATATATATTGTAATGTATAGGATTTCATCTTACATTAATGTGCTTGTACATCTCAAAGTTAGAAATAAAAAGAGCCAATTTCCAGCTCTGTAGATTTGAAATGCTGGTGTGTATCAGTAAAATAATATTCTAAAGGAATGTACATACAAACATAGGAATTGAATGAGAACTATTTCTCCATTGCGGTCATTATAGGTCAAAATGCTGCATTTAAAACAGGTAAAACAAAGGGAAATTATTACAAGTATTTTTGAAATCTGAGCGGTGACTATCTTTCTAATTTTAGCATTCCTGCGGGCAAAAACAAAATGAAAAAAATAAGAAGAATTCTACAAAATGGAGGTGGAAAGCTATGGTATTTTGGACAGTTGTATACATTTTTAATTGCTATTAAACATTTTCAATTTAACCTTTATTGAAAGTTGATTCACTGTAAATTATCTGTTAGGAAGTTTCAATATTGATGTATTTTGCTTTGCCACTTATTGATTTAGGCAAAAGAGTTTTAATTAGTCTTTAGTACATGATTTATGATAAGTACTTGACACGTTAATGGAATTGAAGAAGAGATAGAAACTATAAAGACAAACTATGTTAGATATTATTTTACATTTTTCAGAAGTAACATTTAACTATCTCTTCAAACATACGCAAAACATAACACATTTTACTGGAAAATCAGTACATTTTCAATTCGTGTGAGGTAATGATAATCACTTATTTGAAATTAATCAGTACAGGTATATAGAATTACTAAGTAACATGAGTTAACCTTAAACAGATTGTTCTTTTAAATTTTATAATCTATGCTCCTAGAGGGAGGTAATGCCTCAATTTTATAAAACAGAGCACATCATAAATCACAGAAATTACCATTGGGTATTAATCTAGTTGTATGTGTTTCTTCCTTTATTTTTTCCCAATAAGACCAAGATTAAGACATTAATGTTATTGCTTGAGAAAATATAGGTGATATAATATCTTCAAAAAAATTTTCAGTGAACAATTTCAGTTTTGATATAATTATCCAGACTTAAATTCACATGACTTTGTTACCAAGTCAAATACTCATCCATCAAGTAAAATGGAAAGTAGAGTTTTCTATCCATTGATAAAGGTAATGTTTTATTTTTTAAAAAAATTTATCCTTGTTCATCCAATAAATATACAGGAGAGTGGAAATTCATATAAGAATGTTAATAAATTTTAACATAAAATTTAAAAATATATTTTAGGTCACTTAAGATGAGTTTCACTTTCCTTAAAATGAAATAGTACTAATAAAAAATATCTTTTCCTTTACTATTTAGTATGATCTCATTCCAACAGGAGCAATAATAATATATCAACTTTAAAGAGCCTAACACAGTTCCAAAATAATTTTGACAAGGCTACATTGTCAAAGGGTTGCAAGAGTTGAGCACCCTGATTTTTGCCCCACACACTGAAACTCTTTATCATAAGCTACTTGATATTACAGCCTTGTGTGTAATATTGGCATAACTACTTTTTCCCCCCCAGGAAAAGTTTAAGGATAATGTAAATATTGACTAACTACAGTCTATCCCATGAGGGATATCAGAGATCTTATAATAAATCTCTGTCTTTTCATTCTTCATGGTACAATTAACCATTGAAGGTAAAAGCAGTTTTTCAACATTTGATTTTGTAGATCTGATACTAAAGTTGCTATCATAGGGAATTCTGGGGATCTTTTTTTCATATTTTTGTATACCTTAAAAACAAAATTCTTTATGGCCTGTACAATAAAAAACAGTGTTTCTTTCATATGGTTCCAAATGTTCTAAGAAACAATAACGCTTAAAGCACCTTACAAAATAGCTATTACAGACTTGAAAACTGAGAGAACATTAAAAACACCCGCATATAATTCCAAAATATGTCCACATTTTCTTTCAAACAAAACAAAACTAACTTTTCACCCCTTTCTTTGAGTTACACATCTTTCCATTTCCAAGTAATCTTTTCCTTATGAAAATCTATATCCTTTTTACTAAAAACCTGGAGTTAACAATGTTTGCTGATATAAATGCCTACTGTCTTCCATTTAAAAAGACCCTCCTTGCTAGCCCTGCGTTAATTGTGTTCCTTTGGAAGGCGTGCTCTCTCTTTCTAACCTTTGCTACCGTTTTCATCTCAGACGCTGAGCAGCCCTTGGGCTTCAGTGGCTCACTGGCTGTGGCAGGTCCACAGAAGACTCAGGGCATGCTGTTCACATCTGACACAGTGAAGTGAGGAACAAGCCAGTATTGTCACCAAGCAGGTTCAAAGAGAAATCGCAGCTCCTGGAGATGTAGAGCTTTTCTGGCTAGTCGCTCTTTACCTGCAAGGCTCTGGTTAAATTCAAATCCATTCATTTCTCAATGGCTTAGCTCCCTTTCTGCCACTGTGATAGGAACCAACAGGATCATTATGGGTTTTTTTTTTATTGGTGTCTACAATCAAGTGTGTCTTTAGTCGGTCTTGTCTGACATTTTCCACAACGGTTTTAGCAGACAAAATTATATTAGGCAAATATTTCTGGCTGTTGTTTATTGAGGTGGTTACCTACATTACTATTTGGATAAAGCCTTCCTACTTTTACCCAGAGTCCACAGAGGAACAACTTGAGTTTGGGACGTCCGGCATTACTCTTTGTAGTTCAATGTTTAATATCAGAGCACATATTGAAACCATAAACAATGAAAATTCAAAAAATATTCTTTCAATATTGGAAGAATATATGCCTTCCTTTTCTTCTTCTTCCCCTTTCTTCTTTCCTAATTCTTAAAAAGCCAGAGGCGTAGGGAGTGGCAGGAGGAAATATTCTTAGGATCTAAGCTCTGCCTCCCTCCTCCCCCGCACTTAAGCCGTTAGAAACCAGAAGAATACCCCCTTTTAAAGTCTAAAGCAATATTAGATTCACAAACTATCAGCAAACAAAGTCTTACCGTCAAATGCTTGCAGCAGGTCCCAGCTCAGCCCAAGACTGAAAGAGCCAAGCAGCTGGTGAACAAAAGTTTTAGGTTTTTTTCCCCCCCTAAACGAAGTCTGCAAAACTAATTTTCCTCAAAATAGGGCTCAATTTCCGTTAAAGAAAGCGGCGCTTACAAACCTCAGAATTCCCGATAACCCCCGCCTCATCCCCCCAGCAATGGAAAATAATTCGATCTTTCGCACGGATGTAAAGGTTTATTGCGAAGTCACCGTCCTGTAATAGAACTTAGTGGAAAAGCCTGAGAGGAGGCTGAAGCTGGAGGCACTTGGGGAGAGAAACGTTTCTGCCTTTAGGATGCCGCTCAAAGGTTAATCAATACTTTTTCCTAATCCAAACCAGATGGCTAGCCCACTTTGCTGTCCCCATTCATTCCATTAACTACATCAAAGACCTGGTCACCGTCCCCTGGACACCTGAGACAACGACAATAAGGGGACAACGATGCCGGTGGCGCATTCGGTACTCAGGAGCGATAGGTGATTGCAGATATTCTCCTGATGCGACACGTTCCAGGCAAGACCCCCTCATTCCTGCAGCTCATTATGCGCGGCTCATTTGTCCTGGGTAAACGACCTTGCCCCCAGCAGACAGGGTCGCCTCCCAAGTAAGTGGCAGTATCAAAGGCAACGCCTGCCTGTTTGGGGAAGGAAAATCCAAAACAGCTCTCGCTTGCCCTAGTCACGGTAGCAAGTTTTCTAACTAACTAAAACTAACTAACTTACTGACTAACTATGGGGCGGGGTGGTGCAAATGATTGTCAGGGAGACCTGAAGCACCCTAGTTTAGTAAACTTGAGGTTGGGGGCGGGGAGTGTAAATAAGTCTCTCTACGGGGACCTTTGGGGGAAGGCGATTGACTGGATTATTTTTGAACGGAAGCTAGTGGGTTTCTAGAGGGAAATGAAGGAACTGGAAGTTCCTGAGGGAAAGTGTGCGTGCAATCTACACATCTCATGCGATCCACACGAGATCGCTTTCCATATTTCTACCCAAAGACTGGTCCTCCCTCCTGGGTTGGTGACCAGGACATTGAGCGGGACCAGCAGAGAACACATGAGGCGTTCGCGGAAGACCGGTGAGGCGGGGGCCAAGGGAGCCGCCACCTGGCATTGCAGGTGAGGATACGGAGACGTGGACAGCCGCAACTCTCTCCCAGGCACTTTCCTTCTACCCATCTCGCCAGTGCCTCTCCTTTGGGTACAGAGGCTGCCCTTTCCGGTCCAAAGTGCACATTCCTGCCACCTCGGACCTGGCATCTGAGCCCACGGACAACTCTGCCACTGGTACCGACTGCTGGGCGCGCCGCTGCGCCCGGGGCGCATGAAGACACTACGTTTGAAAACCTGAAGTCCCGGGCTGGCACTAAACTACCTCTGATCCCTTTCCCTTTCCTTCGATTGCCCGGTCCACGCTCCTCAAGCGGGCCTCTCGTTTTTCCAGCAGGTGACACTTCCCAAGAGACAGGGACCAAAAAAGAAGTTTGCTGAGAGGAGCGAGCGGGTTGGAAACCGGGAGCGAAGTTGGGACCGGGTGCGCCCGCGTGCGCCTTAGGTGGTGGCTCCTGGAGAGACGGAGCGGCCGCGTCCCGGAGGCGCGTGTGCGCCCGGCGCTCCGCGGGCGACCTTGGCGGCGGGCAAGGTCGCGACGGGCGTGGGCGTGGGCCCGCTCGCGATATAGGAAGTGGAACTCCGGGCGCGAGGCGCGGACTGAGCGGGAGTGGTGGCGAGCCTTTGCCTGTGGTCAGCGCGGGGCTCCTAAGCCAGCCCCCAGCTCACATTACACTCTATTTATAACCTCCCGGAGCCATTTCCCCCTTGAAGCAGTTCCCTGGGACCACCTTCTTTTGGCTTCCACCTCTCCTACTCTTGACATCCGAGTAGCTCAGTGGGAAGCTCCTCCGGGCCCCGGGTGTTTATATGTAAAGGAGACTGGCCGCCGGGGCTGCAGACCAGGGTTATCCCAGCTCCGAGAACCGCTCGGCTGGTGCCCAGGGCGTTGCGGGGAGCGGGGAGTCACACCGTGTCCAGGGACCCCTGACCGAGCTCGGTGGCATTCGGAACCTTGGTGAAGTCGTCTGGCTGGACCCTGAGACTTGCATGCTATGGAACACCCGCTCTTTGGCTGCCTGCGCAGCCCGCACGCCGCGGCGCAAGGCTTGCACCCGTTCTCCCAGTCCTCCTTGGCCCTCCATGGAAGATCCGACCACATGTCCTATCCTGAGCTCTCCACGTCGTCCTCGTCGTGTATAATCGCGGGCTACCCCAACGAGGAGGGCATGTTTGCCAGCCAGCATCACAGGGGTCACCACCACCACCACCATCACCACCACCATCACCACCAGCAGCAGCAGCACCAGGCTCTGCAGACCAACTGGCACCTCCCGCAGATGTCCTCCCCGCCGAGCGCGGCCCGGCACAGCCTCTGTCTGCAGCCGGACTCCGGAGGGCCCCCGGAGCTGGGCAGCAGCCCTCCAGTCCTGTGTTCCAGCTCCTCCAGCCTGGGCTCCAGCACCCCGACCGGCGCGACGTGCGCGCCCGGGGACTACGGACGCCAGGCGCTGTCGCCCTCGGAGGCGGAGAAGAGAAGTGGCAGCAAGCGGAAAAGCGACAGCTCAGGTGAGGCGCGCGGCCAGGGTGAACGCGAGGCGGGAAAGGGGGCGGGGAGATGCCAACGGAGATTTGGGCAAAGCTCCGAGGCTGCGGGAAAGATGGGGAAGTGCCTGGTTCTTTCTGCGTCCGAGCCCGTGACTTTGGCGAGACTGCCGTGGTCTGGTTATTGGGGGGAGGGGAGACGTGCGTTTCTCTCTGGGCAGAAAGTGTGCCGTCGGCAGCTCTAAGGTGCCCAAAGGGCTGTTCTCGTTTACCAGAAGGTTGGGGTGGAAAAAGGACGAGTGGCCAGGTTGAAAGTGATTGCGCTGGGTGCCCTTCCGCCTAAGCTGGTGTGTGTGGTGTGTGTGTGTGTGTGTGTGTACAGTGCGCCACGAGATGCTGCATCTGCTGAAGCGTGCGTGCGTGCGTGCGAGTGCCACTTTTTCACTGCTCCTTTGTAGGCTTCCGACTGAGAGTTGCTCGATTTTTCCCATCGTTAACTCGATTTCCAACTTCTTGCACAATATTTGGAACTTGCAACGGAACTTGGCAGAGAGCATGAGAAAAGAAAAAGCTCTTTTAAAAAAATTCTGATTTCAGAGTTCCTTAAATAGTATCATTTTTTTCCCCAAATGGTAAAAAAGCCCTTCCTTGAGTAGTAAAGCAGTCTCTAAAAATACAGAGGATTGGAAGTCAAGTGTCGGAGACTTGCAGAGCAATCGTCTTCAGGCTGAAGAAAGACGGTTCTTAAAGACAGTGTCTGTTCATGAGATGCTAAAGCGAAGAGAGAATGGGAGTACCAAAGCGGAACAACTTCTCTTCCTTCGACTGCATATTATCTGGGGACGATTAATAGGAGGCAAAAAACCATTCCAGAGGTGCTGGCTCACTGAGTGCCCGAGGCTCCCAGGCAGGGCTGCTCTCCGGAGCCATGGAAGTTCTGGGGTAGCTAAAGAGAGGAGCATTCCTGAACTCAGGGGCGTGAAGGCTTTCTCTGCCAAGTAAATCATAGCAATCTTGGGAAGCTCCAACTTTTCCAGGAAGCTCCTGAAAACCCTTCCCTAAGTGTATCCTTAGGAAAATGTATAATACTTCACAACTAAGCAATTTCTGAGCTTCCTTCAGCAGCTACAGAGCGACAAGGCTTCCAACTTTCTGGAAAATAAATGTTAAGCGTTTACTATAACCACATTTGCATATTCTTGGTTCTTTGCAAAACTGATTTAATAGTTTCATAAAGTACTCCTAGTTGGAAATGTTTTATTCGTTAGAAAGCTCTTGCATAAACAATGATGATGAAGCAGTATGCTTCATTTTTCTTATCAATGGAATCAAAACATCAGTGTTTGTATGGACTAGACGCTTTTGCAACAATGACAAAACCTAACTTTGCTTTCCAAGACCAGGGGTGAAACTTTAATGCTTCATCTTATATGAGTTTATATTTCTAAGAAGCTGTCAGCCCGAGTCACTCATTGTGTAGATTTTTATTAATCAATAAATGAAACTCTTCTTAAGACAATGAGTTAAAAAGCGAATCTTGCAGGAAAGTTTATATCTTCATTGGGCCAGGGCACTTGTGTGTGTGTTTTAGAAGGTAACAAACTTTTTATAGACTGATCATTTGACAGTGTGTTTTGGGGGAAGCAGGTCTCCAGTTCCAATGGTCTGACTGTTCAGTCTACGGTTGCAATTACCTGAAGCCCTTACCGGTTCATTTTATTCTGCAATGAAAACCATCTACGTGATAGATTGTTCCTTACTCTGCCTGACTTGAACAAATGCTTCTATGCCTTTTAGGACACGCTGCATGCTCACGAAGGCACATGTTATTTTGGTTGGTGGAAATAGATATTGGAATCTAAAAGCTGCTTGTGTTAAATTATTTTAATAAAAATCAAATTGCCAAAAACAATCAAATTGGCCCCCCACCCCGCCTTTGGTAAGAAGATCATAATATAATCAAGTTTATTCTCACAGATTGAAGTTAATTCCTAGAGTTGAAACACAAAGAAAAAGTTTGTTAGTGAGGTATGCTATTAAGGGGATTTAATTTTATTGGGAAATACAGAATCATCAGCAAGAGTAAGTTCACTGGAGACCAATAGTGAAATTTTCTTTGGTGGGATATTTTGACAAACTGAAAGGAAAATCACAGTAGTTTCTGGTTAAGCATGCATCTATTGAAAATAAAATTTAAATCTCCAAATCTTTGTTTGAGTTAATATTTGTCAGGTCTTTAGACAGATTTGAATTCAAAATGTGTGTGTTTCTGTAATGACCTTGCCTTTGGTCTTCCATGATTTATGCCTATAACTATTTCCTTTCATAATAATATAAGGACATCTTGATAGGTAACTCTTAAAAAGCATAGAAAATTACTACCGTTCAGGGATATCACCAACTTGTATATCTTTCATGTCCTATAACACCATTCTAATATTTCAATATTCCTTAAAAAAGAAATTAAATTGATTTATAATCTTATGAAACTTAAAATTCTACCTGATGAAAGTCAAGTCATTCATAGTAGATACCATTCATATTTTGTTAAATAATTCATATTTACTATGTATTGAAATTTGAAAGTAAATGTAGTGCATAAATCTGTTGGCAAATGGGAATCAAATTCTGCCCAAAGGTCGGCGAAGATGAGCCTATTGGCTTCACTATGGATTACAGCTCTGGAAACCCTCTGGGCAGTTCTACCTTGTCCTTTAGGATCCCTATGAATCAGAATCGAGAAGCAACTCTCCATACTGTACCTGGATGTACATAATTCAACTTTGCTGGATTCAAATACAAATTTAGCCCCAGGAAATATGAACAAGCAACCCAAATGTGTAGAAATCTTATATATATATTTCATAATAATGATGCTAAAAGTATAAGGAAATCACTTCATATTTACTTGCCCTCTCCAGCACACCTGAACACACTAATATAAAAATCAGGAGATTTAGGGGCCTAAGAAAACATTTATAGACCATTGGCTTCCATATTAGTTTATCGACAGTTGAAATCATCCAATGTTAACAGAAAAATAAATTAATATTTTATATATATTCATCATCTTTATAATGTTGAATCAATGTAATTTGTAGCATTATTAACAAAGCTAACATCTGTTATGTCTTCAAAGTAATCCTTAAAAATAAAAACTTTACAGTTGTAGTTAAAATAACCAATCCAAAGCAGGTGATTCTGAAAAAAAAAAAATTCTATAAAGTGTGTGTGCATTGCTTGACTTCAGTCAGTTGATTGTTCTCCAAGCAATGTAGAACGTAATATGTTTAAACTGTCCACTTTCAGTTAAAATAACTCAAGTTAAGCAATCTAACTTTAGCTTATATGCAGCCACATGAAATGTGAATATGCAAAGTTTTCCAGAAAATGGAATTAAATATGCAATAGTACATATTTTATAAAAAATAATTAAAGATAAAATGTACCAAAGAACAAAAGGAAAAGAGTTATGCAGCTTCTGGAATTTACTAGGTTTTGAATCCTATTAAATTTTTGTAAAATTTCAAATATTCTATCTATCACCACTAAATCATAGAACATGTCAAATTATATCTGTTTACATATTGGATCAAGCAGAATGATAGGCAAGTGTTACATTTAATAAACTAAAAATTAAACCAAAATTGGTTTTTATTTCTTCTACTACTACTACTACTTTGTAGGTAGTCCAGTCATGTTTCTGGAAGAAAAAAGTGGCTTTATTTTTTTAATTAGATAGTAATTTATTGGCTCTTCAAAATTTTAGAAGAATGCTGGCTATCTTAAAACTATGGAATAACAGCATTTTCATTCTTTTTTGTGGTGGATTACTTTTAGGTAGGAACTTTTTTTTTTTTAACATTTTATTAGGGGCTCATACAACTGTTATCCCAATCCATACACACATCAATTGTGTAAAGCGCATTTGTACATCGTTTCTCAAAATAGGTAGGAACATTTTTAAATGGTAACTTGCCATGAAAATAAAACAACCCAAGAGAAAAACTGAGTACCACCAACCTGCATGAGTAAAATAACTAAATTATAAAACAAAACAAAACCCCCCAAACAAAATTTCCTTTTGAATTAAGCCGATTTATTATGAAAGTCAGAATTATAGTTCATTTCCAAAGGATAATCATTTGTTGTTAGCCATGGTACCACTCAAATTTTGCTTCCTAAAAAGAGCCCACCACGAATATTTAAACATTTCTTCTCTGTCTATAGTAATTTTCAACGGAAGCCATTATTTTGTCATCTTAAAAGTTAATGCATGTTATAAATTGAAAATCAAAAGGTATTTTAATGGTTATCCCATTTTTCTTTTATGTTTCACAACAGATTCATTATCACAGCACTGGGATTTAAAGTAGCTAATATTATTTGTTATGACACCTAAGCATCTTAAGACACTATTTTTAAATTAAAAAAAACCCATCAGACTGAGAAATTTTCAGGTATTAATTTCATATTTAATGGGAAAATTAATAGATTTTTTTGAAAAATATTCAGCTATGAATGAATTAATAACTGAATTATGGCAAAATTCCCCACATAGAAATATAGTATATGAACTTGGCCTGGTGATGTTACCTTGCCTGGGAGCTTTATTCATTTACTGTATTAGATAGTAACTTAAAGCACAAAGCAATGATGTTTTAAAATTTTTTATTGCAAATAAAAACAAATATACAATATATTTTATCATACTGTATTAACTTAAGTAGTTTATCTCCAGAATTTCAGAGTGTATTCATTTTCTAACCATTCCTATGAGAGTTACAAACATCTATAATAGAAGATAAGTTTGGAGAAAAATTAAAAAATAAAACACATAGGACTTGCTATTACCTAAAATTTGTGCTTTTTGCCATATTATTTTGATAATGAAAAACATTTTATGGAGTAAAATAGTTTAGCAAATGAAATGAGTCCATGAGCAGTAATATCCCTCGCCCTTGATGGTAATCATAAAAGAAGAAGGGCTTGCGTGGCTGGTTACGTGTCTACTGGCTCACCGT